CGGAGAAAACCTACCCCAGAGCCACTTTGTCCACCACAAATCCCAGACTCGGGTTTGAACACGGGCCGCCGCGGTGGGAAGCCAGCGACTAACCTCTTGAGCTATGGCGTGGCCTATCAATGTATGTAATTTAAAGGTGAAATGTAAAATTATCCGTGCTTAATTAAGTAAGCACCACACCATGAAGACGTATGGGGAAAAGTTCAACATGGTGACAGTTGCCTTCATCAGGGGGAAAGAATATTTGTGGAAAGACTAAAAGGAGGGTCGATGGGAGTTGACGATGCACGTTCTTGGCGTTCATCAATTATAAAATGTGATTAGGATAAGAAGCAGATCGAGCAGCATTCCCGAAACAACCGAAGAATGAACTACCATGAAATCCCAACTGAAACGTCACGATGAGTGAAAGAAGAGGCGAGGGATCACTTAAACTTCGAGAGAAAAGATTTTATTCCGATAGACTCGGGAAAATTGTAGGCCGTTGAATCAAATACATTATAAAGCAGGTTGATGAAGTAGAGAAATAAAATATGCAAAACCCTGTGTAATTATTCTCTCAAGATTTATAATAAAATGCCTTTATGTTCTTATTTACCGCTTTGAATCTTACCACAATTGGCTACAAATCCTATATATATTTTTTTTCCTTTGGCGCTACAGCCCCAATTTGGGCCTAGGCCTACCTCCATGGAACTCTCCGTTTCACTTCGGTTTACTAGATCTTACACATACGGTAGGACTCCTTGGGCGAGTGATCAGCTCGTCGCAAGGCCTCTCCCTGTACACAAGCACAGAAAAGCGCACACAAACATCCATGCCCTGAGTGGGATTCGAACCCACGATCCCGGTTTCCGAGCGAGCGAAGACAGTGCATGCCTTAGACCGCTCGGCTACCGTGACCGGCACAAATCCTGTATTACTGATACATAAAACCTGATCTACATAATCTCATTTACTTGCTCTTGTCTTAAAATCATCTGTGAGATCAATTTTATAGTTCCATGAATAAATATTTATCTAGATACAAGTTTTGAGGCTTTTACAGTGGCGCTTGTTAAGATTGTGGACTCCTGTGTCGTGACGTCATTAGTCTAGCAGACGGATACTTACATTTCAGTAGAACATGTTGCCTCCATCTTCAGGGTTGAGATGTGTAGGGTGAGGATTCGGTTGGTTTGCATATTCAGGTTGCAAGGGAGGTGGTACTTGAGACCCGTGGGGAGTAGAGAGACGCCCCATTCCTCTCCTCACGCACATCAGCCAAGAAGACTGAAAAAGCGTATTCCGTCATCACGTCGATATCTGCGTAAAATAATACACCGTCAGAACACGCACGTTAAATTTATCTTGTTTCTTCCATTTCAAAATTCTGATTTCGTTTGCTGTGCTCTTAAGGTTCACGCAGGTTCGGATTCCACGGGTCCGCTACCAGTTTCTCATTATGTCAAGGGCTGTCACATTTTTACGCACATGAAGCACCATGTTAGGATCGTTGCAAATACAAACGGCGATTCTTTAGTTAAGTAACGAAAGAATTACGACTGAAGATGTTGTACACTGTGAAAATGGGACGGCGAGATTATCATTTTGATGGAGGAATTCGTGAATTATGTGAAGTAAATTCATTTTTCTGTAGAAACTGAAGGAACTGCGAAATATTTCGTCGGATGGCTATAAATACGATGAGGTTCGAACTCGTTCTCCTCAGAATATGTTACCGTTACACGTACTTCAACACGCTACGTCTCAGGATTGTCAATTCCAGGAGGTGCAAACTTCGGACAGTAAGGAAAAACGTTCTAAGAGAAATAAATTTCAGCCTGGAGTTCAGTTTCTGTTTGCTTCAGAGCTTACGTTTGTTAAACTTAATGTGCTATTCGTGTCGGTTGAGTCTCCTCGTTGTAAAGCGTATGATTTAATTTTATGAATAGCGGGGAACACCTGCATCCGAAATGTTGGTTAGAAGCCTAACACCTGGGCTTGCGATGGGAGTTAGCTCACAGAATAACTGCAATACAGGTTACATTCATAGCACAGAGATCCGGATCTTTAGTCTGGATTTGTTAATTGATATGTCTAGAGTTGCAGTGTACCTCAAACTGAGAACAATTGGAGCCGAGGTGGAATGGAACTTGCGAAAATCTTGGCAGTAAATAATGTGTGCGGTGGACATGAGCGTACGGGCTTAGGACAACTTACGATTTCAAACAGCAAACAATGCCGACCATTCAGATATTTGGAATACATATGCCATGTGTTTAATCGAAAAAGAAGTTGCGGGAACACAACCAGCGAAAGATTCCATCCTGCTCTAAATATTTTTGAAGAAAGTATTAAATTTGCCTCCCATTAAATTCCAACAACGCTGATAAATTTTAAACTATTTATGGTATGACTACAGTAATATTTTCAAACTTATATATATATATATATGTGTGTGTGTGTGGTGTGTGTGTGTGTGTTTGTCTTTTGCAGTTATATATTCATTTTTATAAAAGTAATACGTTTCGAAAGCCGTCTCTACTCCCGTTCTCAATAAATCCCGGGACAAAATTACTTGAATCTAATGGACCTAACAAGGAGGAACTTTGTACTTTTATCTGATGACGTAAGAAGGAACAATGGCCGAAGCGTTGTGTTCTTAATCAAAGACTGAACGATGAATTGTCCATTATATGTCAGTTTCAACACATCCTTACCGCAAGCCTTTAGACTTGAAGCTAATATCAACTCAATTTCTCCTAAAATAGGTGAAGTACGTGAAAGTTATGCCCCATTAAAATCAATAAACTTTATTTAAAAAATTCTTCAACGTATACATTTAGCAAGACTGTATGTAGTCTGATTTGGTCTTCATATGAAGCGCTATTTCGCAGTAAGATTCGTATTTCTATAGGCATGCTTCTGCCTGAGTCTCTCTTTTCAAACTTTACCTAATTATGATAGTAGCAGGCAACTCTTCTTTTGCCAATTTTTCTCTTCCCATGTCTTTCTTTTTATGTTAGGGAATATTTATTTCTGACAGTTTATTCCTGTCTCTCTATCTGTCTTTAATTATTTCCTGTCACGCGAAACGATTTTCTCGAGAAGATCCGACGTCGACCAGGAATGGGGCTTCACCGGCGTGAAGTCATTCCTTTAGGACCAGAAGGACCTTACGCACGCTGCATGCCTGTATGTGGAGGCTTCAGAATCCGCACAGTAGGCACGTTCAGTCTCATTGAACTGGGGCAACTCAGATGAAAGCGGGAGGAACAAGTCAAACAGCACATAAGAAATTTCTGTTTTCCGTAAAAGGCCCTTGTGCACAACAAGCAAACATCCTTGCTTGCGATCAGCAGAGCACACACGAAGCCACACCACGAGAGCTAGCATTCTAATAGTAGTTCAATTCAACTCGTGTTTATTTACGTGCAAACTTAACAGCACAGACCCAATTACAAAGTTAGCACGAGTACACAGAAATACACAGAAATAATTTAAGAACAAAATGCAAAATATGACAGTCTATATAATGGCAATAAATTAATAATAATAATAATTTAAGAACACTTAAATTTAGCATTAACAGAAGAGAAAAATTAAACAAATATATTTCCAATGGTTATGCCATTATGTGGCGAGATAGGACAATACACCGACTTTCACATATAAAAGTAAATAATTACGAATGAGAAGAACGTCCCTGGCCCCGAATACGTCAACTTCCCTGCAAACAACATTAGCAGCTGATGTATATCTAACAGAGGGACAATTTTTAGATGAGGAGCAGACATTAATAATAATAATAAATTCATAATATTAATACCTGTATTAACAATACTTCCGTACAGTAAGCCTGGCAGTAAATAAAAATGAAGACAGAAGAAGAGTCAATTCCCAAGTTCAGAGGCCCATCTTCATAAGTGAGCTAACAGTTTTCAAGTAGACATCAGTTCGATTGCTGTTTTACTTCACCCAGTCGCGTTCTGTAGCGCAGTGAGAAAGTTCCCTTTCGAAAATCGGAAGCTACGACCTAATATGCTACATGCCGTTGACCCCATATCTGGATCTTTCCTTTGGTGCACGCCCACATTCTGTCCAATCCTCACACCAGCACTTCCTTTTGAATTTCCACATGCAATACTTATTTCCTAATGGTACCACTAACACGAGCAAGCTTTTTGTTCCTATTTGCTTTCATGTATCCTTTGGGAAGTAGTTACCAAAAAGAAAGCAGGAGAGATGTGTGTGTACCCTGCAATTTGGATGGACCCTCCTGTGTAATCGGGAATGGGCCACCGGAAAGTGAGGAACCATCTTCATTGCAGTGTTGAAACCGTCCCTGTGGCCCATGCAGCCTCGTATACCGTAGGTACCGAGGGCTTTTCCGCTAGGAGTAAGGCGGTTGGGGTATAAAGCTGACCACTCACCCTCATCTCAGTGCCGAGGCTAAAATGTATGAAGCTCTCTCATACGCCTTCATGTCGTCTTATTTAATTACATACAGAGATAACTTTATTTGCTTCCATTTCTGGGAACTACTTTACATAATGAACGAGTTCTCCTTTATTTTCACTGTAATTCTGTCCTCCACGGACTAGGCTTAGGCTTGTTCCAAATTCATAGTCATCTTTTCAGAACTCTCTCCTATATTCCTTTTGGTTTGTGTCTGAAAGCGAGTGTCGAAAATCTGCTATTGTTCACATTGTTGAGGTGGACCTTCAATTCTTCCATCTCACCAGTAAGTACTATAGTTACTGCTTTATGAGATCATTCCTGAATTGTGTCTGATGTGCTAAATATCCCTTGACACTCTTTAAAATTTCACACACCAATCCGGAAGCTGGAGACCAGTCCCTTGTTGGCTGTCCGCAACTGCTTGCACTTCAGGCTGCAAGTGCAACCTCGTGCGCAAACCTAGGGTGCACCGCGATGTGGTAACAAGGGGACAGCTGTTAACATGGTAAACATCTGTCACTGTGACACCAGGCTCGATTATTCCTTCTCTGTTTCAGGTGCGGTGCAAGCACGGGACTACAGATCTCCTGGTTGCATGACTTACGGAAACGGAAGTCACGTGACGACATTGGGAATCAATTTGCTCGCTAATAACGGAGCTCCGGATTACTGTGGAGTGCTCGTCAACAATGTGAGTACAGTCCTCACCTTGACCGCATTCTAAAGTACGCCGCACACGGCATGCGTCAAGACACGTAACAGTCAAGACACGATGTCTGCGACGTGATGCAAAGAAAGGAGCACAGTCTAGTACGAAAACCGCCGGACACCGGTCTGAGTCATGATGATGACGCCAGCTTCATGCTGCAGACACGTGCAGCAAGACTCGGCTTGTTCCTTTTCTGTGCGTCAAGACTCAGACATCAGTACTCAAGGAACAACACCAGTGTACCTCATCGACATGAGTGAAGGGCATGACGTCATGTCATCAACTAGAGAAGATGTGATAAGAGGTAGACACGTGTTACTTCGGTGTGCGGACTCGAGTCTGAATCACGAATGAAGCACGACTGCGTCTTTTGTTTCATGTCTTGATGCTCGTCTTGACGCAGTTGGTGTGCGGCCGCCCTAATATTTACACTTGCATGAAAAGGTGTATTTCTTCATCCGTACATATACACATACTGTACGTATATACATGCAGACACACACACATACACGCCAGAGCCTGAGACTTGCAGTACTGTCTTCATTCTGCCTGCAGAATCGCTGCAGAATAGTTGCAGATACTTGCACCTCAATCGCTATTGCAGTCTCGACCTTTGCCAAAATTGTCCATTGTTTATGGCATACATGTTCAGAGAATCCAAAATTAAATATATGAGTGGATGGATGAACGGGATTTCTATGGAAACTGTAGTTAGAGATTCCAATTGTGTATTTCGAAAGTTGAACCCATTTGTTGAATTTGAAATCGGAATGACGCGGGGTTGCATGTCACTCATACGACGGACTAGTACAAGATATGTAGGCGTGAAGAGAATGTATATTGTTACTATAGGATTCTGACGATGGTGCATAACACACAGAGATATTGGGTTTTCGGACTTATCCTGGTTTTTAAGATAACTAAGAAAAACACTGGACGTCCAGTGATTGAGGATAGCTCTTTCTGAGGGACCCAACAGAATAGGTGTTTCCCATCACCTGAGGACGGAAACACATCCACTTTCCGAAACGTCGTGTTTTTCTTAGTTATCTTAAAAACCAGGATGACAGATAAAGTCCGAAAACCCACTATCTCAGAATGTCTGTTGGTTATGATGAAATAACATGTTATCTGTAACTGTCAGTGTTTTTGTTATATACCCTATGAATGTCAGATCACTCATCTACCGACTGCTATAGTCTGTGAAGCTGCGACCGGAAAAAACGTGGGCTTATTTCTGTTGTTTAATGACAAGTTAGACAATGAGCAGCATGGTGCTCTGTTGTCAGTTGATAAAAAAGAGAGGTAGGGTTTTCTTCTACCTTTATTATGGACGTCCTTTGAAGAAAATGCATTAGCAATGATTAATGCATTTTGTTGTTCTGTCAAGTAATTAAATCTTAGTATAATATACAAGTCTTTCCGAAACATCGTCACTGTTTGCATCCTGTCTTGTGTCATGATTGATGGTATTTGCCCGTCAACACATTATAAATAAAACGGACCCATTCGAATTGCACACACTGCTTTTATATAATTATTGCTACACTTCTCGGTCCATGTATGGGACCATTTTCAGACGGTCTAAGTACGTCTCAGATTAACGAACTGGCATAATATAGCCCCATATTAGCACTACTCATCACAATCATACTATAACGCGTGCAACCGTCAGGAAGTTGCGAGAAATTTTCTACTTTTAAAATTGTTTAGAAAATAGAATTTAAATTTAAAATTATGTAAAATATCCTTGACGTAGGATGTAAAATTTTATATTTTTGTATTGTCCCACATTTTAGGTTGTCGTTCGCCCGGGGTTCGCTATTATACTATAGTTATATAAGCTATTTGCAATATTGATATTAGTTTTTGGTTTGTTCTTCCTTTTCTTCTTGGGTATAATGCCCTGATTTCGTTTTTTTCTTTGGGGTGTGCTGTATATTTCATTATTCACTAATCGTCCCAACACTGAATGTTGTATCGTCTGAGCTACTGCTAGCATCTCTAAAAACATAAATAAATAAAGTAAATAAAATATGACGTTACATACTGCATATCTCTGAGGTGAGCTTTAATTTCTGTTGCCGAAAATTAAAAGTCCGGCTACTGTGTCTTAGAAACAAAGGGAGAAAAATGCGAGATTCTTCAAGGACCAAAGAAACAAAAGAAAAGAAGTAAACAGCCTAGGATCCTAAGCTGAGCAGTCAATGCAGAGTTGGGGAATATCATGACTACAGAACTGGTTTGTATTCTGCTGGAACTTGAAGAAAGAGTAAACTTAATTAATGAGACCAGATACGCGCTAATTGTATCATGGATTGGATCAGAATAACTACTAACATGTCTATACGTCTGTGTGTTTTAATCAGTGTAATTCATTATAGGGTGACGACTAGATAGCTTAGTTCCTGGTTCGATGTTCGCTTAGGGTGAAAATATCGTTGGGTAGAGCCTTGTTTCTGATTTAAAGTCCATAGTTTCGCTTCATCGTTTGTTATCTTATAGTGGCAGCCTTTTACAGAAAAATAAACAAATCTTATACAATACTTCATTTATTTTAAAAACGATGCTGAATGTTGAAACATAAACGTGCAGTTGGCTCAATGAACATGTCAACATTCAGATGTACCTCATTTTTTTTCCTCGGCACTACAGCCCCAGTGGGCCTAGGCCTACCTCCATGAACTTCTCCGTTCACTTCGGTTTTTCTAGATCTAACACATTCGGTAGGACTCCTTGGGCGGGTGATCAGCTCATCGCAAAGCCTCTACCTGTACACAAACACAGAAAAACGCACACACACAAACTAAACATCCATGCCCTGAGTGGGATCCGAATACACGATCCCGGTTTCTAAGCGAGCGAAGACAGTACATGCCTTAGACCGCTCAGCTACCGTGACCGGCAGGATGTACCTCATTAATGAATTGAAATGAACTATGAATATTTCGTGCTAGTACCAAGTATGTAGGTGAACTTACATAAAGCATTTCAGGTAGAAATGAATGAAATTTAATGTGTGTTTACTTGTAATATCACCCGATTCACGTCTGTAAGTTCACAATCAAGCCTCAGGTCCTCTTAAAACACAGTAATGCATATGTTAACTAAATATATATGTGTGGTCTGACAATAACGTTGGAGAACTCGTCGCGGTAAAAGTGCTACACAGTTCAGTGCTGAATATCACTGTGGTCTCCTTAAAAGTACTCCTAGTACTTTGAAGTACTAGTCCACCTTTCAAAACACTTTTGGCACTGGTTTTGTGGAATGGCCTTCAGAGCTTCCGTCGTATTACTCCTGATGTCATCAATGTCATCAAAATGCCTTCCTTTCAATACTTCTTTTACCTTGGGCAATAGAAAAAAGTCACTGGGGGCTAGATCCGGTGAATAGGGAAGGTGTTCCAGCACAGTTATTTGTTTACTAGCTAAGAACTCCCTCGCAGGCAGTGCCGTGTGAGAAGGTCCTTTGGGACCATTTTGCGCACACCTTCCTCATGTCAAGATCTTCAGTTAAGATTTTACTGTTTCTTTGTTGATTTTCGCTTGCTCTGCCATGCTCCTAACAGTTATCCGATGATTTTCACGCACAATTTGACGATTTTTTTTAATGTTTTCCTCAGTTCTGCTCGTTGCTGGCCGTCCTGATCTCTCCTCGTCAGTGACACTTTCTCTTCCTTCAGAAAAACTTGTCACCCACGTGTAAACTGCTGTTTTCTTCATAGCATAATCCCCGTGGGTCAGTACAGGCCCCTATGAGAGTAGAGTGGGGCTCAGCAGGGCCATCTGGCTCAGGTCCCCGGCCCAGGGGGGCCAGAAATGTACTCTTACATAACATTAAAACACTAAGCGAGAAAGATTGTAGGAATTCCGTTTAATTGAATTGTTGAATTATAATTCTTCCATAATTATTCGTTTAATATAAAATCTGATTTTCTAAGTATTTATTAAATGCATTCACATCCTTATATGTATTTAGGAGTGAGGTACAGGGCCCCCATTTATGACTGACCCTACATCCAACCAATATCGCTCAGGCCCTGTGTCTAGAACCCGATTTGCTTTGTAGTAGTGTTCCTGGAAAACGTCGCATAAAGCAAAAATATGGGACATCGCATACCTGAGCGGGCCAAAAAAAGCAAAAGGTAAAGCTCTTACTGTGGTTAACTAATTAAGCACTACGTCGGGAAGGCGTATGTGGGAGTGGGTGTGTAGATCCACATTTTCTTGACCTCGGCACTAGCTGGAGATGAGTAGTCCACGCCCCTGCTACGTTATCCCCAGTGAAAGACCCCCTGTACCTTTTGGATAGGAGGCTGAGTGGGCCCCAGAGCCGGTCTGGACCCTTAGCGGGTTCTTTTCATTGTAATTTTTGTGTTGTTTGATATTTTGATTTTCCTACTTGTCAACTAATATTGAATGTTAATTTAAATAAAGGCTCACTTAAGATAATTTCCGTGAACTTTTTCATATCGGTATGTAAATAGAGTCAGCTGCAGTTAATTATTGTTTCGCCAGTTTAGAAGGGCTCTAAGGATCGAAACAATTAATAACTCATTATCATCATCATAACCATAATCATCTTTTGAGTAATTAGCACATTAAATTAGGTCCTTTAACCTGTTCCGGCTACAATGGTATCCGTACATAATGCGTTTACTCAAAAGCGTTCTTAAATATTTATTTCAGATTTTTTTTTTCATTGGCGCTACAGCCCTCATTTGGGCCTAGGCCTACCTCCATGAAACTCTCCATTTCACTTCGGTTTTACTAGATCCTAGACATACGGTAGAACTCCTTGGGCGGGTGATCAGCTCGTCGCAAGGCCTCTACCTGTACACAAACATCCGTGCCCTGAGCGGGATTCGAACCCACGATCCCGGCTTCCGAGGGAACGAAGACAGTGCATGCCTTAGACCGCTCAGCTACTGTGACCGGCTTATTTCAGACATAGCCTTGCATTTATTTCGAGAGCCATTA